CTTTATATGAACCTGAGATTTCTTATACAACAATAAAAGTTATAAATTACTCACCGGGTGGAGCAGGATCGCTGTCCATGTTCGTCTTTTACAGGCGGATAATCTTTGTCTCTGCTGATGTTCTGCTCTCAGCTCCGTGACTTCCTTCAGCCACCTCGTTGGCAGTGCTCTGTGTTTCTGCAGCAAAGCTCTGTCACAGTTTTGAAAAGCTTCCAATCAGGTCATCTGATATTGATCATTTGCCTGGTCTTAAAAGCACATTCAAGCAGACGTAGGAAATCTGCAGTCAGCAATATTAAACCTGTGCTGTCAGGAAACAATGACCTAACAGATTATCATGATCTTGGACAGATCAGGAGTTTTGCACTTTCATTTTCTGTTCCTTAACATTTCTGTTTCAGTTTTATGTTACTGTAGTGTTTGTTTGTTTTTTGCAGTTTTGTGCCTTTTTAGAAGTATTTTTGTGTTGGTTTCCTCATATCATCCATCCATAAAAACGAGGTTAGTCATTAATATACTGCTGCTGGGCTGTAGTTACATCGTAAATGTTTAAAAACTGAGCTTTAAAATGATTAACGGTAATAAAAACCGAGAGAAGCCGACAGGGATCACTGACTGTTTTTAGGGGCTTGTTGAGATTAAATACAACAAGATACAAAACACTAAAACATGTTAAAAACACAACTGCCTTAATGAAGAAAGAGTAGAGTGGGCCCTGGATTCATCACGTCATCAATCATCATCCTCACTAATGTCTGAGTGTCAGACACAAACATGGGGATCAAACTCTGGCTGTTGTGGATCCTCCAGGTCTGTTTAACACCGGCAAGAGTGAACCTGATGTGAGGAGGGAAATGACTCAGGTCTAAATGGTCCTGTTCACCCACGGAGACGAGCTGAAGAGGAACACAGAAGAAGTCATCACTGACAGCAGATCGCTGCATAACTTAAATCTACATGTAGAAGACAGGTTTGATGTTATACTCAAGTTCATGCAGAAATGTAGAAAATGTCAGAGTTGACTGATACTGGGAGACTGAACACTGGGAAGGATGGGATACTTTAAGTAGTGCAAAGCTGGAAAAGGAAGACAGTCTGTGCTCATATCCTGAAGTCCAGTCAACTAACTGCTGTTTTTTATCTTAAATATTTTTCAGTTAAGTTTCATCTGAGCAGCACATTTATTTAGCATTTAAATAAATCCTGCTTTATGTTTGAGACAACACCACGTACATCTAGAGACACTTCACTGTCAGGCTGTTAGCTAACCATCACATGTGTTGCACTCAAATGCTGCAAAACCCGTTTAAATAAAAAAATCACACTGAACTGTTTTATTACAATAACTTTAGTGTATTTAATGAAGCCATGTATGTTTGTCTCTGAGCTACAGCGACTTGAAGAAGATGCAGGTGAGAGTGAACATGTGCGATCCTGAATAACTCCACAGGTACACGAGATCCTCACGTGAAATATGCAGGACTGAGAAACACATTTGACCTGATCAGCAGCAGGATGTTCGTCTGTAAACAGATGATCAGGTAAATTCAAAGCTGTGAACATCACATGGAACAAAAGCTGGAACTCATCAAAATACAAATAAAATGCGACAGCAAACGCGCTCTAGTGTGAACCCTCAAAGTGGCCACATGCGCAAAAGAAGACGTCACACACAAC